TCAGCAGCTCCAAACTCACGCTGCCCTATGCTGACAGTGCTCTGACCTCTCCAAATAACAGAGCTAAGAACTGTACCTGAATACAGCCCTGTAAGGGGGAGATGGGGCTGAGGAGACTGGGGTAACGTGCAGAGTTCAGTGAGCACCACTGAACAGAGGGCTGCACCCTCAGCACCCCCACCCACCAGCTGCGCTCCCCCTAAGCCTGCTCCCAACATTCAGTGACCCAGAGGCCACCACGAGTGTCCTCAACAGAGCCAGTGCTGCCACCCAAGTCCCAGCAGGGCCCTCCTCCCCAGCACACAGCACCTACATGGGTCTGGCCTTTGAAGAGCCTCACTGGCTCCTCCGGGTTCCCGCTGCTGAAGGCGAAGGTGCAGAGCGCGTAGGCAGACTTGTCCTCAAAGCCAGCCAGCAGCTTGTACAGGCCTGGGGACACAGAGGGGAGCCTGGAGTCCCTGCTGCTCCCCAGGAGCACAGCACAGCCACCCAGGCACGGAGGTGTTCTACGTGGCATTCCCAACCACCGCGGGAGGTGACAGAGCTCAGGCACCAGCATCCCTGCTGTGACTGAAGCCAGAGCCTCAGGTCCCATCTCCAGAGCCCCGCTATGAATTTGGGAGAGGAAGCAACCCAGCACAGCTAAAGCCCCTGGTGCCCGAAGGTGATTAGTACTCATGTTAATGAGACCAGCAAAGGATTTGAACTGTGGGATCAAGGCACAGCAGGGAAGGGGAGCATTATTGGAGAGAGGCTTGCCATGAAGCCACAGGGAGCAGGAGATCTTCCAAGTCACACTGAGCACAAACGAGATGCTCCCATGAGCCCTGCCACCAGGCTGCAGCAGGAGCCTGGGAATCCAGGGATAGAACTACTGAGAAAAACAACATCCCAGGAAGGAGGGTACAGAACAGGCTCGAGGAACCTGCTGGCTCTCCCAGCATGGGTAGGGAGCCACTTCAGGGGCACAGGAGTGGGTTACACACAGAGTAGTAACATGAGGGCAGTACCTTCTGGCTTGAGTTTCTCCAGGAACCATTTTCTGAAAAGGAAGGGAGGAGGGAAGAACAATTTTTGCTATTATCTCTCAGAAATACAGGCATCCTTGTGACATTGTTGCTTACATTTTCATAGGCCTTTGAATCCCTCTCAGTGTGCTGTAGGATCACTCATTCTAGAGCACTTACCAGGAAGGACAGACTTACCTCTTAAGCTGAAGGGGACACAGTGAAAACAGCAGTGGGGTATTTAATTTACTGTATCTTAGTTATTATGTATATAAATACATAATAACTTTGTTATCTTCTGGATTAAAGCTATCCTTAGGAGAACCTGTGGGGCACTCATGGCAGAGTCCTGCTGAAAGGCTTGGTGCCTTTACTGCACAGAGCCTGCTCTTTCGACAGGTTCCCAAGCTGCTAGAGCAGGCACCACAGATTGGAAACCAGAGCCAGCAGCCCAGGTCTATCTCTCTATTCCTGCTCCATAACTTCCCACAGAGCTTAAGGAGCTCAGTGCAGCCCCTGGGGTGCAGGATGAAGGGCAGGAAACAGCAATCACCTCCCTGACCCCACTGCTCCTGGAGTGTGAGGCCAACCCTGCCAGCCTGTGCTCCTAACCCTGGCATATGAAAGGGGAAACAGCCACTTACATGTAGGGTCCTGGGAGGCCCCCCAGGGCATTGAAGCACAAGCAGGTGTCCTCTACTATAACAGGCCCCTGAACCTACAGTGACAGCCCAAGAGAAGGAAAACATTAGACCTAAAGGAAGGCACTGCCTCCAAACCCATTCCCTTGCTCTGGCCCATCCTCGTGTTTCCACTTGACCTCAAAGGCAGCACACACCAGACAGACAATCAAACCCAAACTCCCCCAGGCAGGCCAGAGAGGCTGAAGAACAGTAGGGAAGCTTTCCCATGGAGAAAAACAAGCAGAGCTGAACGCTCCCTAACATCCTAGAGGACGAGGAAAGGGAAAGTCTGTGTTCCAGAGGCATGCCTGCAGGGTACCCATCCCAGAGCCAGCTCTGGAATGTTCAGCAGACAGAACTCTTTGTCCTGCAGCCAGCGGGCCTGGACTGAAGGAGGTTCCGTGACCTCCCGCTGCTAGAGGGACACACCAGCACAAACCAGAGCAGCCGGGTGGCGGGAGAGCAGCGAGGCCAGGACGGGCCGGTTGGGATGCCTCAGTGTCCCTGCCTGGGGTCCCTGCACACCCATCCCGCCGGGAAAGGGGAAGGAGCGAGTGACCTGCCGGGCGGCTTCGCGGCACTTCTGCACCGAGATCTCGTCTGGCTCCCCCTGGTACTCGGGCACTGCGGACACGGGGATGGGGCGGTGCTGAGCACACGGCCGGGCCGGGCCGGGCCGGGCCGGGCCGGGCCGGGCCGGGCCGGGCCGGGCCGGGCCGCCGCATCCCGCCAGGCCCTGCCCACAACTTACGGTCGATTTTCTTCGCCACCAGCGTGTAGGGAGAGGAGTCCCCGAGGATCTGCGTGACCTGCGCAGGGAGAAGGGAGTGGCGAGGGAGGGAGGGAGAGAGGCGGGCCCGCCGGCCAGGCCCGCTCCCGCCGCGCTCACCTCCTCCAGTTTCTTGGCGTTGCCGGTCACGAACACGACGCTCCGCCGCGCCGGCGCCGCCATGCTGACCGCGCGCGCGGCCCTGCGCGCCCGCCCACCAATCAGCGCCCGCGCCGCCGCCGCGCCCCGCAGCGCTCGGCCAACGGGAAGCGTGCCCGCCCCGCAGCGTCCGACCAATGGGGAGGGCGTCCGCCCACGCCAGACAGGCGGGAACTGCCGGCCCAGGTCGCCATGGCAACCGGCCCCGCCCGGCCCGCGCCCCTCACAGCCCGGCCGGCGGAGCCCGCGCCGCTCCTCCTGGGGAATCGCAGGGGGACCGTGCTGCAAGCCCTGCTGCTGATCAGCTCCGACCTCAGCCGCGTCTCTGCACTTTCTGTCATCCCATTTCCCGCGTCCGAGCGACCCGTCGTTGGTGGTTTGCTGCTGGTGGTGCCTCACAGCCAGAGCTGTCCCTTGGGAATGTCTGTGCCCAGGACAACCCCAGCACTGAGTGACTTGAACCTCAAACTGATCAACACCCAATTCTAGCAGCTCGGGGCAGTGCACTGATGGTTGGCTTGTGCGGCTTTACCTGCCCTGCATCTCAGGTAAACACAGGAGCAGCTGCAGCAGAATCTCCAGGCTCGAGTCAGGAGTTCTGCCTGCGGGGCCAGTGTGGAGCCCTGCAGGAACAGGTCAGTGCCTGTGGGGTCCCAGCTCTCCCACCGTGTACCAGGCCCCTCCTCACTGCCAGACCCTGCCAAAGCTCCTGCTTTGCAAGGGGACTTCTCAGGAGGGACTTCTTTCCCGCTGGGTTGCCCAGCTGCCACAGCCAGGAGACCCCTCTGCACCCACGTCACATCCCTGCAGCCCCCCTTTCCCTCAGGCATGGGGACCTGGGGTCACACCACAGGCTCACACAGCAATCCTGAGAGGAGGAATGCACTGCTTTTGCCAGAGGATGCCATTCTCTGTACAAAAGAAATCATGTGGAAAAGAGCAGCAGATGGTCTGTTCTCTGCACAATGCAGGAATGGGTAAAACAGACCCAAAGCTTGGGTGAAGGAGTTGTTTTTGTTGTAGAATCTCCTTCATAACATCTCCCAAGTGAAAACCAATCCCCAAGCATGCAGACACTGCTGGAAACAACACCCCTTCCCTTTCTGCTGACTGCAGTTCTCTCTGCCATCAGTCCAGGGTGGGACAGCACAAGCTGCAATATAAAACCACAATACCAAAGGAATATGTGGAGGACTGCTCTGTACCACCCCAAGAGCAGACATTTCTAATGGTCTTTCCAGCCTTGTGGGGAAAAAAAAATCTATAAACATTTCTTAACAAATTCTATTCCTGCAATGTTTCTGACCAGGACTCCTGTGGCACCAAGGTCCTGCTGTGGATGGCAGCAGCAGCAGCAAAGGCAAGGCTGGCCTGTGGGAGAAAGGCAGAGGCACTGGCAGGGCTCTGCAGCAGCAGGAGTGAATTAACTCACTTTCCAGCTGGGAGGACATGGTACCAAACAGCTCGGTGAGATCTGCAGCCCCCCTGGAGACAAGACACAGTCGCTCCTCATCCACCTTCATCCTCCCTTGCAGGCAGAGAGTAGCCAAAGGCACAGGCAGGATGACTTCTGTCCCTTCCACTGAATGTATGATGCTAAAACCAGCCTATACTTCAGGAGAAAAAAACCCAGCTTGCCTTCCTGATTCCCACCTGGAGAGCTCAGCTCTCACAGAGGGAAAAGCCCTGTTTATATTCCAGCTGGGCAAGGGAGCTTGAGTCACATCCAACCCTCCAGGCTGCCGTGCTCACTCCTAATCCCCTTCTCTACATGGGGCAGCACTCAGGTGGAAACTGTACAAGGTCCTGGGGGCAGGCTCAGAGGAGGAAGCTGGGACATGGCACTGGAAATTCTCTGGGGCACCACTTCCCCTCTCCAGAATCATTTCAAGCACGTGCTTAGCAGGACAACGCTTCTCTCCTCAGGAAGGACCAAAAAGAGAACCAGAAGAGCTTGGCTCTGCTGAAGTGCCAAGCTCAGGGGCTGGAAAGGTGAAGGCTCCCAAAAATAAAGGGCTGACAGAAATGCCACCAGCACTCGAGACCAAGGCTGGAAACAGCCAAAACACAACAGTCCCATCCATGAATAGAGGAGCTCAGTTCTTGTTCATTCCAGCACACGGGTCCCTAGAGCTCCCCAGTGCCCGTGTCTGGGAATAATCCCCGCCCCACTGGATCACAAGGAAGCAAAATTGACTGCCATTCAGGACCACGACCACCACCACACCATGCTGAAGGGCTCTGAATATGAACTGGGCTTCTTCACTGTGGATGGGTATCAGGAGAATTGTTCTCCAGCTGTGTCTTTATAGAATTTTGTGCTGCTTGCTGAGTTTTACACACATTTCTTACTTTTGGTTAAGAACACACAGAAACAGGGACTCCCAGCCTTGGAGAGGCCTGAATGTCCTCCAAAACTTTATGAAGACGTGCAAAAACTCCACACGTAGAATCAAAAATAGGTTTACTGGAATGTCTTTAGTCACAGCTGTAAGCAGCAATACTGAAAACACTGAGCTTGTTGTGCATTCCCATGGCAGGACCAGAAAGTTTTCTGGATTGTAAAACCTAATTTCACTTTTTCTCTTTTCTTTTTTTTTTTTTTTTTTTTGAACAAGAGAAAAACAACACCCCTGCAGTTGTTCTCAAAAGTATCAGTTCCCTATAATGGTGTATTTCCCTTCAGACATTTATCTCCTTCTTTTCTCTGATTCAAAGACAGAGTCCCCTCTGCCTTCCACAGCAGGCAGCAGAGAGCTGCTCAAACCATATTATTATTATTATTATTAATATTACAACTCAACCATATATACAGATAGACCGTAGGGGCAAGTAGCCAGCTCCAAACCAGAGACCCAGAATTCCACAAAACAGGCGGTTTGGGATCTGAATCTTGTGTTACACAAAAAAAAAGTCTTACAGCAGGAACAGGTACTCGACTGGAAAAGGGTTGTTTGGTAGTTCTTGAAAAGCTCTCTTAGAGCTCGCTGCTTGCCACCACCTCCTGTTCACAGGAGAAAAAAAACGACTTCCAAGCTATATACAGATATCTCACTTAAATTACACAGCAGATTGCTTATCCCAGAGGCAGCTCCACCGAAGCCTCCAGTTGCCCTGTCAGGATCGGTACTTCAGGACTATGGGCACTGCAAAATACAAAGAAAGAGGCTCTCACCACACACCCATCCCTATCAGGGAGTCCCCCCATTTCTGCAGTAACAAACCCCAGCAGCTGCGAGCAGAAGTGTTGTGTTCCCAGCCCCAAGCTAAAGCAATCTGCTGTCTGCACACATGCTAGACAACATATCCTGCTACCTTCATCTCCTTCCAGCTTCCCAAAACTAAACCAGATGGGATTTTCCATCAGTCTCTCTCTCAACCCTGCTGCCAGCTTCGCCTCTCCCACTGCAGGCTGTGTGTTAGAAGGACATCAGACCACAAGGGCTTTGCTGAAGGAACAAGAACTGTTACAGAGCTGCCCCTGGACACTTCAGTGGGAGGAAAACCCTCCAGACCCAGAAGAGCTGCACTGCCATTCTGGACTGCCTGGATCCCTGGAGCATGTCATTCTGCAGGCAGAGGGATAAATTATTTCTGCCTGGAAGAAACATGCTCTGGTAATTCTGAGCTGTTTGGTAGAAAAAAGCAGTGACATCTCTGCTCTGGGGGGCTCCAGGAAGGGCAGAGACCATGAGAAGGGACCAATGGCAAAGCCATAACAGCTACTCAGTGAAAATTAAGCAGCACATCAACTTTGGAGAAGAGCATTTGTACACAGCAGGTTCATTCCAAGGTGGCTGATACACGTAGAGATGTTTCTGGAAGACACTGCTCTAGCCTGAAACTCTTCCATGTACTCCCACCCGCCCTGGGATCAGTCAGTGCCAACCCTGGGTCAGTACAAGGTTGGCAGGGCACTGCTGGTGTTCTCTCATCACAGTCAGCAGGACGTGGTTTGAGCCTGCTCCTCTGTGTGGAACAGAAGTACAGAATGCTCTGCAGGCACCCCTAATGGGCAGAGTGGAGCCCGTGGGGTGGCTCAGGTGCTGTCCCTCAGGGACAACAGCACCACGGTGTCACTCCCAGCACGGAGTGCCACCAAGGTGTCCATGCCAGACATGGCTGGGCTGATGTGGAGCTACTCACCGATGATCACGAGCAGGAGAATGACCACCACCATCGCTATGATCACCTTCAACTGCAAGAGGAGCACACAGGCACCTTACACAGGGGGCCAGGGGCAGCTGCTCCCCCTCCTCCCAGGGGCAGGCAGGTCACCACCCTTCCACAACCCCAGCCCTGCCTGTTCCCCTTCTTGCTCACCTTACAGTCTCGCCACCACATCTGTCTCCGGAGATGCTTGGCTCTTTTGCTAAAAGCTGCTGCGTTGTCTGATAAACTGTCTATTAAAGGAAAGAAAAGAGTCAGTTCAGTGGTGTACACACTGTCACAGCACCCTGTTCTAACTGCACTAAGTTCTATGCAGTAAAAGACCCAAGCACAGCATGATTCACCAAAGCCACAGCAGGGTCAATGTGACACCCTTCACCTGAGCACACAAGTTCCACTGTGCTCCTTCTGTACTGGCTGCTCTCTGAGGACAGGAATGTGCTCTGCAAGCCAGTGGACCGTGCCAGGAGACAGACCAATCTACCTTTGCTTGAAAGGCCAACTAGATCCCAGCACCCAGACACCTCCAAACTAATGCCTCTGCACAGAGCAGCAGGTAAAGGTGGAGAGAAAAGTCAGCAGAAAGCCAGATCTGCAGCCTGAGGCTGAGCAACACCACTCTGAGGAAGGACAGAAATGTAAGCCCAGGTCTGACATGAGGGGCTTTCAGAACTGAACCATGTTAACCTGGCCCAGCAGCCAGGAGAGCAGGCCAGCAGAGCTGTGTTTGACATCACACCTGATTTATCCTGCAGGTCGTCCAGCCGCTCGCCCCTTTCGATCACCTTGGTGATGTTCTCCTGCATGACATCGATGACTTCATCCACCTGGTTCTGGACACTGGGGCAGGGCAAAGGCAGCGTGAGAGGCAGAAGTGAGTACCAGAGCTGCCCAGCCTGCTGGGATCTGAGAGCTCACCCACAGAAATGAAAGGGCACAACAGTGGGAAGAGGTTGATGAGATGCAGAGAAAGCCAGAGACATGGCATGGGATGGATCTCTGGCAATCCCAGGAAGGGCAAGGGAATAATAAGGGGCTCAGAGAAGCTGACTGGGAAGTCAGCAGAAGTGGGACATCCTCTCTAACACCTTTAACAAACAAACAATTGCTGTTGGTGGGCATCTCTGCTACAGAAGAGCTCAAAATGGGGAAAGTACGAAAAGCATACTTTATCTTTCTACATTTCATAGAACTCCACATCACACCTCTGCTCAGTAATTTGGGGTGAAATTAAATCAGTTCCCTCCTCCAGGAACTGAGTTACTAAATTAAACCCACTCTGCCAGGGGCATCAAGAGGATAGCAAATAAATGGCTGATATGAATTAAACCAAGTTATAATTCATCTTCTCCTAGGTTATGCAACTCTGTGGGTAGCCTTCACTGAACAGCAGCCTAAATCACACCCGTAGGGTTATTAAAAATGCATTTATTTGCTCCAGAAAAAAAAACAAACCTACACTGGCAAGACAGAAAAATTTTCCTGGTGGAAAAGTACTGCTCCATTCTGGTTTGTATTTTGGAGCTAATACATGTTTATTTTCCTGGAGATAGAAATGAGGATTTTCTTGAGGCCTGGGGGATAATACATTGTTTGAGACATACCGTTCCCAGAAAGGCAAGGGCAACAGCAGGATCTTGGAGGCAACAAAACAGAAATAGCTCCAGAGAGAAACAGCATATCCTCCCCCAAGGCCCATGAAACTGGGGCCAACACAGACTCAAGGCCAGTCAATGGGGCACTGCAGGACCAGAAACAGGGCTCTGTCCTCACCACCATGCTTCTAATTAATTAATTAGAGACATAGGTTCACACTGACCTACGTCTCCTACCAGCGAGGTGCCTCTCACCAAGCAGACACCTATGCTGACAATGAGCAGCTGCAACCAGTAATTGTGGTCACAATACTTGCTCACATTTACTTTTTGTTCCAAATACAGGTAAGAATAGTCATTAAAAGGCATTTTCCTTCCCAAAAAGCTCTAGAAAGAATTCCACATCACTAAATATGAAGGGGCTTCCCATCTTAGCTTTTCAGGCTGAGCTCTCCAGCACCACTGCACTGTGGCTTCCAGAGCTAGAACAGCCAGGCAACTCCTCTGAAATTTCTGAGTCAACAGCTATGATAAAGATAAAGGCACATGCTGGACACCAGCAGCACATGTAAAAATTTGCTTTACTTAGGACATCTTAAGAAAGGAACCTGCCTTCTCTGTGCATCACAGAGTCTGTGGGAACAGCATCTCTCTGAACCCACCTACACCATGTGGTGGGGCAGCTCCCGCCTTCCACACTGCCAGGAGCTTCTTATCTGGAGGGGAAGGGGACAGATAATCCCCAAAGACCTCTCAGCAGGAACTGCCCCGTGCCCAGGAACCTGCTCTGATCCACTGTTTATTTTACAAACTCTAAGGTGAGTGGCAGAGCTGCCGCTGTTGGCAAAGCTCGGCAGGTGGCACTGAGGATGGGGACAGGAAATACACGGCAGTGCCCTGGGCAGCCAAGTGTCCACCCCACACAGGACACACAGCCCCTAGCCCGTCCCTGGGCACTGGGTGACAAGCAGGCACGTTCTGCAAGGGGCTTTCCTTACCTTGGCACAACAAGCCCCAGCTTGGAGCTGCCAGCAGTGCAGCTACAGCTTGGGGCGAGAGGAAAAGCACCAACATCTGCTACCCCAGATGAGCCAACTTGGCAAAACCTCTAAGCCTCAAACATCGGCTTCACACGCAGAAGTCTACATTTGCAGTATGTAAATGTTTCTAAAATCTTGTTCTGGCTTGAAAATAGAGAGATTTCCTCCCACAACAGATTTGTCACCAAGTAATCCTGGTACAACTAACAAGCGGGAGCACACCAGGTTACAGTGCATCTAGGAACTTGCAGAGCCATGCAACATCACCTTCATCCCTGCCAGTGCAGGTCAGAGCCCTGAGGGGTGCTGCTGCAGTCCTGGGACACCCCAAAGTACTGGAGGCAAAACAAGCTGATAACTTCAAGCTGCTGTGGTGCTTAACAGTATTTGGGGCACAGCTATGGAGCACAGACCCTTACTGCCTTAAGATGCTTCTCAGCATCCTGTCTGTTCTCACTTGAGCTGCTAGCAAAATGCTAAGGGCCCTTGTTACCTGCCCAAACCCGTGGCAAGCTGTCACCTGTCCCCAAGAGAACAAAACATTTCACAAATGAAGAATGGAAGCACAAAGAAGTCAAGGCTTATAAACTCCCACAGATGTTGAGGTGTTGACTCCTATGGAACACAAATGCATTTGGGTAGCACAGTATGCCATCTGGGGAAAAAAAACCCAACAAAACAACAAAGCAAAGAACAGGAAGGAAGAGGCCAAGTCAGAGAAATTCAGACCTCCACACAGCACCTTAACCAGACCTTAAGCCAGCCCTTTCATTCTGCTCTCTCCCACCCTTCACTGCTGCCTCTCCAGGAGGGGGCTGAAAAATGCTCAGCCTATATATTAGCCCAGCAGCTTCAGAACAAATTCAAAAATTCCCATTAGTCTGGCATGCTTCAGGTAGGAAACTCAAGTCACATCAAGAAGAAAATATTTTCTTGTTTTATTTGGCAACAGGGAATTAGTCCTCTAATACAAAGTGTATTTCCTGTTGGGGAGCTACGGGCTTTTGACACATACACTTCATGTGCTTTACTCCTGCCAGATTTCCAAGAGAAATAACGTGGAATAAATACCTGCCAGAAAAGGGAGCAAGACAAAAATATGGAATATGTCTCCCACAACCTTCTTTCTTGCTAATTACTGCAAGTCTGATGCTTTTAGCATGGACACAAGCGTACACCATCAAAGCAACGAGATCCAGTGGCACTCAGCTTGCTTTAGACTCCTCTCTTGCGCTCTGCTGTTCCAAAGTGGGAGGAATAAACCTTTCCATTTTGGCCACTCTGGGTTGGGTACTGAAAACCTGCCTGGGCTGGTCAGGGTGCTGGGCTAACAACAGTGCTGCATTCTCCAGATACTGTAAACAGCCTGTGCACACACCATGGGATGTTCTGCCCAAGGCTGCTGCTTGTCTCCAAGCTGGCTGTTTGCAGCCAGCATGACACTCCCGTTTTCCACCCCAGTGACATTAACAGTGTGTACTTTGGTGCACATTCCACCCAAACACCCCTGGTTGTGGCAGCCACCCAGGGAAGAGGGAACAGCAGGAAGAGCCAAGGCAGATGGAGGGTGCAGAGGCAGGAGGCTGCACAGCACTCCCCAGCTCACTGCAGAGAGCCCTGCTGTTCCAAACAACAGGGTAACAGTGCTGAACCACGCCACAAAGCCTGGACTGAAGTTGCTGCTTAGTCCCAGCTGGGAGGAAAAGAGCAGTCTCTGCCTCCCTGAAGCCATTCAGTCATTGAAAGGATTATATCCAACTAGGATACCTGTCAGTGTGGCCTTGGTATCACCTTCAGATGAAAGCCTGGACTGTGGTTGGGGTTCACTGTACAACCTGCAATGTGCCCTGGGAAGCTGCAGTCAGCTCTTGCCTCAAGAGTTCAAATCATTCCCCAAACCTTCCCCTGCTCTGAGCCTGCAGCCAGCCAGAGCCACTGGGGCTGGGAACGCTGACCCCCAAAGCTGCACAATGGGGGGTTCACAGAGACCAAGAGGCTCCTGAGGAACCCCAGCAATGTGCTAAGCCTCAGCAGAAGCATGAACAAGAACCCAATGGCACAGTTCCCTGAAAGCACAAACATCAGCAGTAAAGTGAGTCAATCAGTGCAGAAACGGGGCTGATTATAGCAGAATTTTTGAAAAGATGGTCTGTGATGAGAAGCCCCTTTTCCAAATTAAAGAAATCCAGCTGGAAGCTGAACATCCCAGCCCCCCTTGAAAAGGCTCTCATGCACACATTCAGCACTTCTTCCAAAGCCTCAAAGCAAAGGCAGAGAAAGTTCTTTGTGCCTTTGGGGAAAATGATGTTTAAAGGATGTCCCTTTAAAAGCTGTGTTTCAGCTCCAGCCCACCCTGGGGATGGGAGGCCTCAAAGGGACTCCATGTGGCCTCTCAACTACCAGAGGACAGTCCACTCCAACCAAGCAGCTTCCAGACACATCAGGACAAAGCTCAGCTTGAAGGGGACTGACACTTCTTCCTGTCACCATTGCTGACTGTCACTCACCTCCTTCCCCTACAAGGTTTGCAGTGCTCCCCCCACAGCTGAGCCAGCCTTGAGGGTCTCTGATGCCAAGCTCCACCCTGACCCAATCCATTCCCCTTTCCTGCCAAGCACGAGGAAAACTTTCCAGTCTTGCCCCTCATGTTTAACATGTTCCACACCTTTGCTCCCAAAATCCCATCACTTTTTCCTCTACACAGTTTCCTTTTACGCCCATCTTCACACCTCGTTCCTCCAGCCCCATACTACCGTGGCCTCTCTAGCTTTGCCCAGCTATGCCTCAGCTCTCCCAATGCTCAAATTCCTCCTCTTTTCCTTACAGTTTTTCAGCAGCTACCCAACCTCTTCTTTGTTGAAACAAAGAAAACTGAGTCACTATGAGGCCAGGCATTGATCCCTACAGCACAAAGGCTGAACTGATCAAAAACTTCACAGTGATCTTCATGACAAGAAGTGATGATTGCATGGTGTAAGTGCTTATTAAAGAAAGCAATCAAAGCTGATGAGAGCAGAAAAATTCTGTTTTGTAACAGATGCTCTAGATGCTCCATAGATGTAGCTCCTTGATAGCCCAAGCGACATATTCCATGCCACATCCACTGCATCCAAGCAATCTCTGGCAATGGGCAAGCCTCATGTGTGGGCCATAGTCACATCACACCTATAGATCCACCAGCTCCTGGCTAAATGCTCCTTTCACTTTTCTTCCTTTTCACAGGTGCAGTGTCCTCCTCTACCTATGCCACTGCTCCCTGCTACCAGGCCGAGACAGGCAAGAGAAGAGCTCCTGTTTTCTCCCAACAGGGAACACAGCACACACTGTAGGTGCTGTCCAGCAGAGGAGGATGAAGGGATGGACACTACCCCATCTCTACCTTTCTATGGAGGTGAGACCCCACTCCTAAACCCAATTCTCAGCTTTCTCACTCCCTCCAGATCATGCCCTAGAAGGGAGGACTGACTTCCTCCAAAGAGCAGTTCCTCTCTACCAACAGCATCCTCACACTCTGGAGGGAACAGAGATGCCCTGAAAACTCAGGGTGCAGCCCCTGCCCTCTGCCTCTTGTGGAGCTCAAGTGCCCTTCACCCCTCAAGATAACAAGCAAAGCCTAATGCTGATGGTAGCATGAGTCATCCCAGAGCTGTGCTGGCTTCTTCCTGGCATGGAAAAAAAATCCCTAACCAAGAGCCACACACAGGCTGCAAACAAAGAATAGTCTGAACAATGTCCAGGCAGCAGTACCCACACAGATCTCTGTCCTGCCTCCACAGAGATCAGCAAAGGAACAGGGCAACACAGACCAGAGGTCTGTGAGTTAACCCCACACTTCTGATTAAGTACCACCACCGCATCCTTCACAGGAAAAACTGGAGCCCTGAACAAGCTTCATCCAGGAAATGACTCGATGGCAGAAGGATTCAGAGTGTTCACTCCTTCCTTCATGCCCCACTCCTCCTCCAGCTGTACTGGTTTCCTGTTTTCCTGCTGCTTTGACCCCAGTGAGTCACGGCTCATCTCCAGGTCACCTATATCAGGTTTTTACCTGCAGAAGGGGATGCCAGAGGACCAGCTGCTGCCTGAACCTCATGGTCCCGGTGTGTTCCTGACCACTTACTTTCTTGAAACGTTAAGGAGCATGTTACAGGATGAGGTAAAAAAAAAGCCTCAAAAATAAAAAAATGTTACTAGGAAAGGTTAAAATTCAGGGTTAATGATGTAGAGAAAGAGCCTCACAAAAACATTGAACAGGTCACCACCAGAAAACAGCAAGGGCTTCAGAAACTCCAATAAGCTACTGTGGTGTAACCTGATCCCCTTCCCTCTGTCAAAACACAATTTCTTGACAGGCTGCATCAAAACTAAGATTTCCTTTAGCTGTGGATATGTGGATAGGACATACTATTTAGAAGAACACAGGAACAAGGAATGTTCATAAGATGACCTACACAGAAATACTCTGACAAGACAGCAGCAGGAGCTCACAGTGCCACAATAAATTATTATCTCTGTGACACTAAGCAACAGCAACTTACTGCCTGATCTTGTCATTCCTGGGTCCAAACCTGGGTCCAGAAGGCCCCCTCCTGCAGGCAGAAAAGAGCAAGCAGGTCAGGTACAATGAAAACATGTTTTTAGACCAGACCCAAATGATCTGAGGAGAGAACCAACGCCTTGTGCACAGTGTATTGTTTTCATACCTCCCATCAGTCCCTCCCACAGATCTTAGGATCCGTGGGATCTCTCACTCTTACAAAAGGTCACACCTATTAATTCATGTTCAAGGCCAAAGCTCTGGAAGAACATCCCAAAGGAGTCAAAGGTTTTCATTCCCAAGCCCCCAGCCTCAGAGCTGCAGGCAGGTATGACACTGCACTCCAACTCACAAGAAAAAGTCTTCCTCTTCATCTGAGTCTTCCTCCAACAGGTTCCTCTGCAAACACAGAAAAAACATTTCATCAATAAGCAACCACCAATTCATACCCATATTTCCAGCTCTTAGGATGCAATCAGCATCCCCTGACTGAAGGAAGGCCCTCTCTGCTCAAGGGACAATCCCCAGCCCTGCACCCAAAATCATTAGATCACCCACAGACACTCTGGGCTGTCCCATCCACACGGGAAATCAGATCTACTGGATTTGGAGGACAAGGTTTCTCCTGTATCTGATGGCAGCAGGTGTAAGAGGAATGACCACAAGGGAACACACTGGCTTCCTTGGGCTGGAGGGCACAGCAGTCTGGCAGCTCCTCTGTTTCACCCCAAAGGGCTACTTGGGGCTCCCCTTTGCTGATCCACGGCACTCCATGAGAGGATCCAAAACCTGATTTTTAAGAGGAACCCCACAATCCCACAGAAGTCTGAATGTTCCAGACAAACACATTTTTGCTTAGGGTGAAAAACAATCTAGAGGGGGAGGCGACACAGTAAAGGTGTAGGCCCAGGGAGCAGCAGATGGTCCTTGGGGTGCCAACAGTTGCTGCTGGGCTCCCACCTGCAAGCCTGATACTCTGATGTTGCAGCTCACCTACATTTCCATCCTGGCACATTTGCTCAATTAATGAACATGCAACACCATGCAATAATTCCAGTCACTGCTTCCCTCAAGGGAGAAGCAGCCAGCTCGTGGCAGCTGTCGGGAGCTGCAGCAGCATTTCCGACCACAGCCTAAAGCGAACTGTAGCACAGCCTGACCTAGGCAGGTTAAATCCACTTCGTCCAAACCAGGCAACTGCCGGGACCTGTACTCAAAGCATGACATGTGAGGGGACCGTGATGACGGGAGAAAAAAAGTCAGCTGTAACGCACAGGGTGACTTCACTCAGCTCCTTCAGCCAACGTGGGCAGCAGAGCCAGGCCGTGTCCCTGCCAGGCTCTGCGGAAGGGCAGGAGGCCGGAGCACACCGGCATCTCCTGGCCACGGATGCGGCCTGAGGGAGCCGCAACAGGTTCCCAGAGCAGCCGCGCCGAGGCCGGAGTGACACACGGAGCGGGGCCGGCGCTCGGGCAGCCCCTCGCCGGCGGAACAGCGCTGTCACCGCGCTCCGGGCTGCGGGGCCCGCGGTGCGGCGGCACAGAAACGCGGCCGGGGCAGCCCCGCCGCGGGCACTCACCCGCTCGCTCTTCACCGAGCCCGTCACCTCGTCGTCGTTCAGGTGCCGCTTGAATTTGGGAGGCATGGCCGGTCCGTGCCGCGGGGCTGTGCCCGCGGGGAGAAGCCTGGAGGGGAGAGCAGGGAGCGCCGGGCAGGCCCAGGACGGGACCCGCCGCCCCCGCGCTCAGCGGGCCGGGCCGGGCCGGCGGGAAATGGCCGGTGCTGGAGAGCCCCGTCACCGCCGCCGCCCCGCCCGCCGCGCCGAGCGCCGAGCTACCGATGGCGGGCGGGCCGGGCCGGGGCGGGGCGGGGCGGGGCCGGGCCGAGGCGGGGCGGGGCGGGGCCGAGGCGGGGCCGGGCCGAGGCGGGGCCGGGCCGAGGCGGGGCCGGGCCGAGGCGGGGCCGGGCCGCCCTCGGCCGCTGGGCTCGGTTCGGGCCCCGGCCCCGAGCGGCCCCCGCGGGGTTCGGCCCCGGGCCCGCCCGCCCCGGCGTCACCGCTGGCACACGGCCTCAGCGGCTCCGGGGAGGCGGCGCGGCAGTGCCGGTGCCCCGCGGGCAGCTGGAAGGCTCCGGGTCGCCCGCCCCCCGCCGCCCCGAGCCTCTCGCTCTATAAATGCGGACGCCGGGGGCCGGCGCGCTGAGAGCGGCGGCGCCGGGGCCATGCTGGGGGCCTGGCTGCTGCTTTGGGGCTCCGTGGCCCTGGGCGGCCGAGCGGACACCGCCTTCCTCCGCCGCGCCCATGACGGCTCCGGGCACTGCACCTACTCCTTCACGGTCGCCAGCCCCGTGGAGGCCGCCTGCCCCGAGGCTGCCGGCGGCGCGCCCGAGCTGCGCGCCGAGCTGGCCGCCCTGGCCGCCCGCCTGAGCCGGCTGGAGAGCCGGGAGCGAGCGGCGGGGGGCTCGGGGCCGCGGGGAGCCGAGCCGGGGGGCGCACGGGACCCGCAGCGAGCGGCCGCGGCCTCCCGCCTGGAGGCTGCGTACGCTGAGCTGCTGCGGGCCAAGTCCCGGCTGGAGGAGGAAAAGGGGCGGCTGGAGAGGGAGAAAGAGGAGCTGGGCAGGCGGCTGGAGAGCAGCGCCCAGGAGATCAGCCGGCTGCGGGCCGCCCGCTGCCCCCCCGGCAGAGAGGGGCCCGGGCGGGACGCGCTGCGCGCCCCCGCCAAGGGTAAGTGCCGGGCCGGCAGCCCTGTGCGTCCCTGCCTGCCTCCTCCCCTCCGGCCGAGTCCCTCTGCGGCCCCGTGCTGTGCGCCACTGCTGCCCCCCACTCCTGGGGACCCCGCCGGGTTCAGCCCTGCCCGGGAGGTCGCAGCCCATCGCCCCATAGCTCTCTCCCCACCCCGCCTCATCCCATCCCTCATCCCATCGCCTGCCCCGCAGCAGAGGGGGGAGGTAGGGTACCGTGCTAATCTGGGCTATTAGCAGTTTCCCCCAAAGAGAACGGTCACAGATGTGCCCTGCTGCAGTGGGAGGGGGCACCGGGCTCCTGCCCAAAGCATGGGCATTTCTGCGAGCAGCAGCCCGGCACGGAGCCCCCCGAGGGCGGCGGCAGCAGGCAGGCGGTGAGGGGGCGGCTGAGCCCCGCTCACGCTGTGCCCGACCCCGCTGCAGCGCCGCGCTGGGAGCCGCAGCCGCTCAGCTTCCAGGAGCTGCAGTCGGAGAGGACCGAAGTTCCCGTGTCCCGGCTGCTGGAGGAGACGGCGCTCGGCCGCCCGGGCAAGGAGGACGCAGGTACGGGCTGCCGGGCCGGCCCCACGTCCCGCGGCTGACGAGGGGCTGGCGGTGACCCCTGTCTGTCCCGTCCTGTCCCCGGGCAGGCTGCGGCCAGCTGGTGTGGGTGGGAGAGCCCGTGGTGCTCGGCCGGGCGGACTCCATCGCGGGCAAGTACGGCGTGTGGATGAAGGACCCCGAGCCCGTGCCGCCCTTCACGCGGGACAACACCTGGCGTGTGGACACCGTGGGCACCGAGGTGCGCCAGCTCTTCCAGTACGAGGAGGCCGAGCAGCTGGCCCGGGGCTACCCCGCCAAGGTGCACATCCTGCCGCGGCCCCTGGAGAGCACGGGCGCCGTCATCTACCGCGGCGGGCTCTTCTTCCAGCCCCGCCAGTCCCGCTCCGTGGCCCGCTACGACCTGCGGGGAGAGACCATCACGGCCGAGAGGGAGATCCCCGGCGCCGGCTACCACGGGCAGTACCCCTACTCCTGGGGGGGCTACACCGACATCGACCTGGCGGTGGATGAGACCGGGCTCTGGGTCATCTACAGCACCGAGAAGGCCCGGGGAGCCATCGTCCTGTCCAAGCTGGACCCCGAGACGCTGGAGATCCGTCGCACCTGGGAGACCAACATCCGCAAGCGGGGGGTGGCCAATTCCTTCCTCATCTGCGGCACCCTCTACACCGTCAGCAGCTACTCGGCGCCCAACGCCACCGTCAACTTTGCCTACGACACTGCCACGGGCACCAGCCGGGCCCTCGGCATCCCCTTCGAGAACCGCTTCCGCTACCTCAGCATGCTGGACTACAACCCTGCCGAGCGGCGGCTCTTCGCCTGGGACAGCTTCAACATGGTCACCTACCCCGTCCGCCTCTCCCGGGCGTGAGCCGAGGCTGGCGCAGCCCCCGGGACCTTCGTGCGGGCCTTGGCACCCTGCTTCCCTCCCCATGGCCCCCGGCACGGCCGGGAGCGCCGCCTCACACAGCCTCGGTGGTGCTGGGGGCCACACGCTGCCCAGCCACATCGCATTGTGCCCAAGCGCAGCAGAGAGATGAAGCACGGCTCCAGAGCCTGGCCGAGCCAGGGCAATGCCTCTCACCGGCCTCGGGGCGTTTCGGGTGGGTCACAGCTGTACCCAGCCCTGAGCTGCTCCAGCACCTCTCTGAGCACCCAGCCTACCCACCCTGAATGTGGAGCACGGAGGGCTCGGGCACGGTGAGGGCTGGGCAGAGCAGGTGGTAGAAGGGTTGTGCAGGAGGTTCCTGCCTTAAAATAAGCGTTTTTCCCTAGTTGTGAGCAGCGATCCCCTCTGTGGGGTCAGGGTTTGTTGTTTCCAGGCTTCAGCCTGCAGAGCTCTCATGCAGAGATCCCACAAGCTCCACTGATATCCCACACTCCCAGTGCCCAAGGGCATCCTGGAGCTCAGCCACCTCCAAAAATCATCGAGTAGGCTCAAAAGCAACAGAAAATACAGACACACATTGCACAAGCCTTGTTTTATTGAGGAAAAAAGCTGCCAAGAGAGCAGGGGTGAGGAGTGCTGGGAGAGCATCCTGCAGCCGGGTGGTCTCTTGGTACCCAGCCCTTCCAGCCATGTGCTTCAGCTTTACAGGCCACCCCAGGCCAGCAGCTCTCCCCACACCAGTCCAAAACACGCTGCTTTATCTATTTATTATAGGAGGGGAGGCTTCTTTCTCCCTGTGGCACTTGGGGCAGAAGCAACCACATTCCCCAGGGGCTGCATAGGGTCCTGGCCCAATAAACATCACCCAGCACCTCTGCTGCCTCACACCTCATCTTTCCAAGCCTGTTTTCCAAGGAGTGTGGTGGGCTGGTACCCCTCTTGATGCACCGACAGGCTGAAGGTGCTGGTGAGGGGACCTGTAAAAGCCTTGAGCAGGAAAATGCCACATTTTGGAAGGCAGCTTCTGACAGCAACACAACAGGTACTGAGCAGTGGAAAAGGACAGAGAATGCAGTGTGACATTTGTGATGATCACCAGCAGCTACAGGGATTTTCAGTCGGATGCTTCACCCCACCGCTGTTCTCCTGACACTAACACTTGTAAGTGTAGCAGCACTGTATGTTTGCATATCACAATGAAGTATTTGGTTTATCCATCATCCCCATGCTTTATTTTGGAAAAATACAAGATGGTTTTAAAAAGTGAGACAATATGGGTAAGATATTTCTGGTAAGCTGCAGGGGGGGGCAGCAAGTTGGTGCCCAGCATGAAGAGGGAGGAAGCTGAAAGACCCATTCCTGCTCCTGGGCAGGCCCAGAGCCAGGCTGGGAATCTCACCTGAGCCAGGGCCAGTGAAGGTGTCCCTGTGGCCAGTGCTGGCCCCAGGTTCCACAGCAAGGCTCAGCCCAGGAGGGTCAGGGGCACATCACCCCTGTCACTGTCACACACAGAGCTGGGGAGCCCTGGGGCCAGGGCAGGACCCGGGTGAGGGCAGGGGAGAGCCAAGCAGGCAGCAGCCAGGGCCAGCAGTGCCCGGCAAACCTGCCACCAAGGATGGGAGAAAGGCATTTCTGTCCCAGAAGAGGATGGGAGGCGGGGCTGGAGTCCCCCTTCACCCGGCAGCTGCCGGGGGCCAGCCGAGCCCCGGGGTGAGGCAGGGTTTGTGCGGAGCCCCGGGGAGCAGCAGCACCTGGTGAGCCCAGCCAGCGAGGGCAGACAGCTCCCACCCCTCCCCACAGCGGGGCCTTTTCAGGCCGGGAAGTGCATCTCTTAATTGGGAAAATAAAGGAGGACAAGCCAATGTACACAGGATTTCCAGAAAGCTGGGCTGCAGCTGAACAGCGCTCAATACACTGCTTTACTTAACAGGCTTTGGGAAAACAAGCTCTCCCTGCCCACATCCCAGCAAGAAGCCAGCCTGAGCCCAGGGGGGTTGCTGGATCTGGCCCCAGTCACATTTAACCCCTCTCTGGCTCTTGCCCTGGAGAAAAGTTACAACCTTTTCACAGCCTCAACATTATTAAGGAGACAGAAATTAAATTCCCCATACAAAATTGTTCCCTAACTCCTGGAAGGTTCAGCACAATTATTTCTGATTACCAGAGTCCTAGAAAAGATATTAAAAACCAAATCCCACTCAATTAAAAAAAAAAAAAGCAAGACATACTCCAGTGTAAATAGCCAGGAGCAAGTTATCTGCTTAAATGTCATAAAATATTCAATCAACCAGGGTCAGTAACTGAAAATTCTACCTGGCCTCAAAGGCAGCTGGTGTGGTTTGGGGTTTTGGAGAGACACACATCAAACCTGGGTTATTTGGAGACACAAAATACCCAAGCATTTACTTTTAATTAAACTTCTACAGAAATACTCTCCTTGTTCTGCTCTGAGGACAAAATGGTCCAAACGCTGGTACATTCCCACAGCCGACTGTGGGACATTCCTCTGACTTCCCAATGGCTTTCAGCAGCATTTCCTTAAAAACAGAAGTCTGGTGAATGAGTTGCCATTTTTGGAGTGTCCTTTTAAGATTAAACAGGCTGAAGACAACCTCAAAGCAGGGAAACATCACCACAACTGAGTTACTTTTATGGCACATTTCTAGATGGAAGCCATGTCAACCCTCCTTCCCAAGCATTGACTGCAGCTGTGCTCATACAGATCCTTGTGGAAAAGGTGATTTATCCTGAGTGGGACCTGCTCCGAGGTTCTCTCTGCCCACAGCTGCATTCCTGGATTCCAGCACCTTTGATTTACTCCATATTGCTGCAGTTTTACCCTGAACAAAACCAACCGGGGCAGGAAAGGACTCCAGCTCCTCTGGTGGTCCAAAGCTGCTGCTTCCCACTCCTCCCCAGGGCTGGCAGCAACACCTCCAACCAAAGGCCAACCTGCCCAACTCCTGGTGGTGCTTGCAGAGCCAGCCCAGCACTCCTGGCTACACCCTCCTTGCTCAGAGGTGCAGAGGCAGCCAGCACCTTCTCCCCAGGCAGGAATTACTGCCAGAGACCGACACCAGAAGCTCCTGGTGTTTGTGGGAAGCAAGTTCCCTCTGGTGGCCAGCTGTGTCCTGCCTGTCCTGAGCCCCAGCCCAGGGCAGGGGACAGGGAAGGCTCAGGCCAGAGTTCCCTGAACTTGTGCCTTTCTCCCAGTGCTGCTGATGCCTTGAGAGGCTCCCTGGAATGGAGGCTGGGCAGAGTTAAAGGAATAAAGTAGGGAATTATTAAAGGCCTTCACAGGATACACTCAAGATGGATGGCAGGTCACGACCTTTCACATTTTTATAAGTTTTGGTCCATTTCCATATTGGGGTTAATTATCCAATTCCAGCTCCAGGTTATGCAGTCCTGTCCTCCCAGACTGCTCTCCTCAATTCGCTGTTTGCACTTTTTGGGCCTGAAGCTGCAACGTGTTCTTGGTTCTGGGGCTGGAAAAGGATTGTTTTGTGTGACTGAGCTGTGAGGAGAACTCGCCAACACGTTACCTGAAGCTCAGTTACACACTAATGCAGTACAGAACATGGAAAATATGAAAGCCCAAAGGCATCACTGTCACTCACTGGCTGATGCGGCATCATCCCAGCTCCTGCCTGGAACACCCCCAGCTCCATCAGCTGGAGATGGAATTCCCAGCAAACACCACCAGGCTCCTGCCGGGGCAAGTGGTGGCCACGCTCTGCGAGCCCTTGGCTGGAGCAGGGCTGGGAAAGTGCCAGGATGCACAGAGGAGCTTCTGGGAGCACTTTCCTTCGGGAGCCTTTCCCTGGGAGCGCCGCTCGCCTCCTGCAGCAATCACGAGAGCAGCCAGGGGCTTTATTTAGAGAATACTTTATTAGTTTCTGTAATCAAACCCATGTAAATAAGACCGTACATATTTCATACAGTGCGTTACCCCTGTACAAATGGAAAAAAAATTAAGTTTAACATTTCTAGACCAATATGGCTGTTAATTTCTGTACAATGCCAACTCACACTACAAGTGGGATACTTTTTTCCAAAGTTGACATCACAGCTAGTTTCCAAAAATTCAAATTATATATATATTTATATAAAAAGATAACCAATAGCGATTCACTAGGCATCAATAGCAGCAACAGCCTTTCCAGCTTCTGCAGTCATTTGAACAAAATTATACACATTAGACTTTCAACTCTTCCTTCCAAAAAAAGTAAAAAAAAGAAAAAAAAAATCCCAGAAAAAAACCAGCAAATTCTGCTACTGATGTGGTACCTGGTGCTTTTTATTAGCTTTTTCAATCATTGTCTGGAAAAAAACCTCTAGAATAACATTATTAAAAACAGCTCCAGTATAGCACAGTCACTACTACATATCATAAGCAGGTACAGGATATCTTACATTCACAGAAGTATCATACAGTACTGTCCTACAGCTAGAATACTAGAGGATACAATTAAAAAGGCATTTATTTGACTTGATTCTACTTTCCAGCACACTGTGGGCAAGGAGGTGGTGCGACGCAGCTCTGATATAAAGAATGCACCTTTGAGATAGAACTCTCGTTAATCTGATAAGGTTTCTTTTATTCTTGTGGCACAGTTTAAGTGCTCGTTGCTGTGTTACAAACTGGAAACCGTTTAGGGACCACTCGCATCATATAAAGACAGCTGGACAGGGGTGAACGGAACAAATCTGACTATCGATGCAATGAACCTTCAGCTCCAAGGGTGAGAGCCACTGAGGGGGCAGCAGGTGGAGAGGACACAGGTGGCCAAGTAGCATTTTCATATGGTGATCTAATGCAGTAAATTGTCATCCAAGCAGCAGCAGCCAGCAAAGCACTGCCTTCAGAGGGAAATCCAACACTGCCAGTGTTACTCAGTGTTAGGTTAAGCCCCGCGTGGCAAATACATGGATCCCTCTGTTTATACAAGATAGAAGCTTCTTATGTCACTAAAAACTTA